GACTAGGTAATCTTATTTCTAGAAGACTTCTTAGATGTCACTAAGACATTCCTTAATTAATAGACTTGCCTAAGAAGTAAAATCAGTGCGTATTAACATTAATCATGTAGTAATAATTAAATTTGCAAGGAATGAGCTGAACAAGTTCGTTGTATCAAGATGAACGAAAATGGCAGAAATCTTAAGTCTGTGGCGAAGTGTTGGAGTGGCCTTCATCCAGCAATGGATCGACAAAGGCTAAGAATGATGAGGGATTAATTTAGGTCAAAAGTAAATAAGTAAAACAACAACGGTAAAAAGTTATACATAATTATGGCAAGCAATTAAGCTTAATCTGACTATTTTGGCTGGTTTATAATGACCGAAGATATTTAATTTTTATAAGTTATCATAATGCAAAATATAGTTATGAAATACCTGAAAGAAACATCGCCTTTGCTAGCAGGAAGTTTGCTTGCCATAGTCCGGGCATTGAATCGATGAGGTAGTTCAAATTTGAAGATACCGCCTTGAGGAGCGAATTATCCGATGGTTGAACTTTAGTCGACTAAATCATGGTCAATTTTTTATGCAAGCAGCTGTCGCACTGCTTCTTTCATGCTTACTTCTGGAGAAACAAAAAGAAATAGCTGCTTGATCACCGTTAAGATGAGATCTGGATTGAACCGCATAAGAAATTCCGGACCAAATGCTATTTTCTAAAAACACTGATTCATGACCAAATAGCAATTATAGCGATGGGTATTATCCTTCGATCACACGAATGAAAACATTATCATATACTTACATGTTTGTTATTACTTGCGAACATTTAATATTTGATTGCAGTCTCCAAACGTCTGCTTTCCTAAAGCAATAAGATTTTCGTCTGGACAGCTTTGAAAGACGCTGTTTACGAAGTACCCTGATGGTGCGATCATACCATCGAATCAAGAATGGGCAGAATATAAGAAAGCTATTGGATACACGCAGAGATCGGCACCTGGCTGGATTTTAAATAAAATGGCTCAAGAAGAGAAAGGAAATAATTGTAATCTTTTCTCTCATGAAAACAACGTACTGGTTGTAGACGAGTTGGAAGGCAATACAAAATCACGAAAACACATCATTGAGGAAGAATTGCATGGAAGAGGTATATGGCCTTTGCCGCAACAGTAAACGTTGCTTAATGTCAATCTGAAGTACCACTTATTAAGGTCAAACAAAATAAGTCTCTGTCACTCTTCTATTTATGTTCTGTGAGTCGCAAATGACAATTTCAAAACAACAAGATTATTCTAAGTCAAACCGCAGATGGTTTGAAATTGTCCACATACCGCAGTGTGTTTCATATGATATTCTAACATCTCGACCAAAGCTTGTACGTAATTTGACTGAGTGATCCGCTCTGTGCGGTACTTTACAACGTTTTCGATGAACCTCAGTTCCTGAAATTCAGCATTAAGTTTACAGTACATTTTAGTTAAACGTTTTCTTTACGGTGTCTGTTTGCGAATCCGGGTGAACGGCTCTAATCAGCTCTATCTGGGACATGACGTCGTCAAATTCACGGTCCGCCAAATGACTGTAGGCAACACCTGCAACAAATATAATAAGTCTAATACGTTGACTTATGTAGCCTTGTAGGCCTAGAAGAGAATGCATGTAAACTTAGTCAGACAAAAGAATCTAGACGATCAGTTCCTGGATGCTTCCAGCTAAGTCTCTAGGTGGTCTTTTCGAGTAGTGAGTTCTTCTAAGCTATCGATATTCAACCAATAATGGACAATTGCTACGGTTAAGTACTAACCAGGTCAGTTTCCGCGCAAAGAGCGCATTCTCAAGAAATGTTTCCTACTAAAGTCACAGGATTCGAATGCATCCATCTGTCAATCAGCATGAAAGAAAAAGTTGTATGACAACTCGTCAGAGTGCTTCTGATAGGAAAGTCAGGGTTTGAGTTCTTTTGCTCTTGGCCTCTACCATTTGAGCCACTTGGACAATGAAGACTTCTCCAAGATCAAGTATCGATGCTTCAGTCAGAAATGTTCAGAGTCGTCGAGACGCGATGAGAATTCTTTCCACCGTTCCAGACTGACATTCTAAGAGAGGTACAACTAGATCGACAAGTTTTAAATAGAAAAGCATTTGTACGAGGGGCAGATATAGAAGCAAGTTTGTTTCTAATAATAGCTAAGGGTATAATTCGAAGTTCTTATTATTGGCAAAGCTTTCTTTGACTAGTGGAGAGATTCTTTGTGCTACCACTGGTTGGCTATCTTCCATGTGAAAATTTCGCTGCCTTGAAATGAGGAAACGCGACGCCAAATCCTGCATGTGCACGAGTGCGTTTTGTGGTCGGCATCAATCGGCGCGTTTCTCTTAACAATGAATCCATTGATCGTTTGGAATTTAGTGTTGCCTTTTATAGGCTGCTATCGAGCTAAGAGTTCATCTTGTAAATATATTGGTCATTAGGGATCTCTTAAGCAAATAGGGGGTCAGCAGATTGATAATTGGTTTCAGGAAGATTTTCGATAGTGAAAAAAGGCCAATAACAAAGCAGCGAAAAGCAATGAAATGAGACTTCAACTTGTTAGAAAGGTTAGAATAGCAACTGATAGCAAGTTGGATTTGTGAA